CGTACCCTTTTATGTAATGATGTTTACTTTGAATTTATATTCACACAAACACTCCATCCATGCTTTTGTTCCGGCCCTCCAGTCCAGTTTAAGAACCCATTGTGGCCCTCGAGTCAAAAAGTTTGCCCACCCCTGGATTAGGCTGTGTTTACTTTTTGCAGTAGCTGTGGTTTGGGAAGTTTAACTTTTCTGTTGCCTCTGTTGCAGCGGTTCTCAACCTGTGGGTCACGACCCCTTTGGGGGTCGAGCGACCCTTTCACAGAGGTCGCCTACGACCATCGGAAAACACATATATAATTACATATTGTTTTTGTGATTAATCACTATGCTTTATTTATGTTCAATTTGTAACAATGAAATTGGGGGTCACCACAACATGAGGAACTGTATTAAAGGGTCACAGCATTAGGAAGGTTGAGAACCACTGCTCTATTGTCTTTGGGTTTCTCTAGGGCAGTGATGGCGAACCTATGACACGCGTGTCAGAGGTGACACGCGAACTCATATTTTTGGTTGATTTTTCTTTGTTAAATGGCATTTAAATATGTAAAATAAATATCAAAAATATAAGTCTTTGTTTTACTATGGTTGCAAATATAAAAAAATTTCTATATGTGACACGGCACCAGAGTTAAGTTAGGGTTTTTCAAAATGCTGACACGCCGAGCTCAAAAGGTTCACCATCACTGCTCTAGGGACTTATATTTAAATATAGTCTGAGACATGCAGTTCTTTCAGTTGTATTTCCCTGTTGTGTTATAAGAGCTCTCTATTGATGTAGTGACTTGTGGGAGAGGAGATGCATTCTAGTCCTATCATTAGGCCTCAGTCTGTTAGTGAGCCTGTGCCCCTTGGCTGTGACTTTTAACAAGTACTTTTCAGAGACAAGAAGGCTAAAAGGGGCTCTAGTTGGCTATTTCCCCACCCTCTGGTAAAAGAGTTTCTTTTGCCCTAGCCCAGGGGTGCGCAAACTTTTTGACTCGAGGGCCACAATGGGTTCTTAAACTGGACCAGAGGGCCGGAACAAAAGCATGGATGGAGTGTTTGTGTGAACTAATATAAATTCAAAGTAAACATCATTACATAAAAGGGTACGGTCTTTTTTTTTTTTAGTTTTATTCATTTCAAATGGGCCGGATCCGGCCCGAGGGCCATAGTTTGCCCACGGCTGCCCTAGCCGGTTTGGCTCAGTGGATAGAGCGTTGGCCTGAGAACTGAAAGGTCCCAGGTTCGATTCCAGTCAAGAGCACATGCCTGGGTTGTGGGCTCGATCCCCAGTGGGGGACTTGCAGGAGGCAGCCAGTCCATGATTCTTTCTCATCATGAATGTTTCTATCTCTTTCTCCCCTTCCTTCCTCTCTGAAATCAATAAAAATATATTTCTTTGAAAAAAAAGAGTTTCTTTTCAGGGCAGGCCTTATTAAGAATAACAATGTTTTGGTGTATTTTGTAATGGATACTTTTTCCTTCCCTGGCAGGAAATATGGGGGAATTTTTCTTGATCTTCACTGTGAGAGCCTGGTAGGGCTCCCTAAGCCAAAACTCCTAAAAGTGTGGGGATTCCTCCTTAAACTAGGTCTCCCTGGAGTTTTTAACTGTCAGATTTCTGCACACTGGAGAATCGTATAACTGCCTACATGTCTTTTCAGTTTAGGGGGCTGTGATTTTTCTCTATGACCTCAGTTCTTTGCTGGACCTAGGAAGAGTTAGTGATTTTCAGTTGGTTCTACTTTTCACTTCTTGGGATGGTGTAATACTTTCAAGGTTCCTTACATGTTAAACCAGAAATCAGAGGCCTCAATTATTTCTTTTTTTAAAATGCGTTTCTCCCCTATTTCCATGATTTACCTTCCTTTCAATTCTCTAACAGCTCTAATTTTTCAGTCTTCCTTCCCTCTCTTCATTTGGAAGTCCAGGGATTTGCTCTTAATCCTCTTCTCACCCACATCACTCTTCCCTGATAACCCTATCTCTGTCTGCAGCTTTAACTCACACCTGAACGATGAGGTCTCCTTAGTCTTAGTGTCCTGAGTATTTGACATCCTATGAACACCTCAATATCAGTGTCTCCAAACTGAATTTATTTTTGTAAACCCTCCATTCTTGTCTCACAATTGCCCACACCCTCCTTTCTTCTCCCACTGAGGTGATACCCATCTCGCTTCTTTGTCTTCACTGCTCAGATTAAATGACTCTGCAACTCTGTCCACCCATTTGCTCAAGCCAAAAACCTGCTTCTAGACTGTTTTTTCTTACCCTCTAAATCCAGTCATTCACACAGTCCTGATAATTTTTCACTTAAAAGAAAAACAAATTCAAATCTGCCTCCTTATCCTTGATCCCACTGCTATTGCTCTCATTCAGGCTCTTAATAGTTTACTCTGTTCTCCTTGCCTCTTCCAGTATTCCCCACACTACTGTCAACCTCTCAGTGTTGGCATCAGATTGCTTCTCTCTTGCCTACAGAAGCAGTCTTTCATATCTCCCGACCTGTAAGCAATCCATTAAGGATATGTACATAAAATATAAGAAATAGTTTAGATTTATTTTTCTGTATCTTATCTTATAAAAATGTCTTTGTTTGTTTTGGAATGTAGTAGAACAATAGCACATGCATATAATTTATAAATATATTTCTATTTAGGTTGAATACTCTTGAATACTCAAACAATATTTTATTGATAGGGTTATATAATCAAAAAGTTAAGAGACCATGGGCCTACAATATAAAATTCTAATTCCTCAGGTTGGTGTCTCAGGTCCTCAGTTGTCTGGACCTGACCACTTGTGTCCAGTCTCCTCTCCCTCTCATTTCCCATTTGTTCCCTGCATTATGAACGCACATATTTATCTACCTGAATACTGTAAGTTACCAGTCTATTTCATGCCTTCATATGGCTGTCACATTGTTGCTTCTCCTTGGAATTGCCTTCTTACTTCTCCCTTATCTCATCCTCATTCCCACCCTGCCCTGCAAAATCCTGCTTCTTAATTTTAACCCCTTCTGGTACAGGTAAAGTCATCATGCACTCTTTTGCTACCCTGCTGTTTAGTACTTGTTCACTCATTCCTTTAACAGTGTCTGTTGAGCAACTTCCCCTAGCCCCTGTCTAGGCTCAGGAGACAGTATAGTCATTTCACTTCTCTGCCTCCTTCACTGTGAGCTTCTTGGAGACAGACTCTCTTCCCATTCCTTACATCCAGCATCCCCTTGGTTTGTCGACCACCTGCATGAGTGAATCGGTGAGTGAGTAAGGACACTGGACCACTAGCAGCTCTTTCAACATTGAGATTCTATTTTTATTTAAAAATTGATCAGAAACTAAGTTGTAAATTTGTGGATCTCTATAGCCCAAATCTTATTTGTGGTGCAGTTTATGCTCACTCACTAAATCAAATCACCCATTTAGTAATAAGTCTAGGTTTGTATATTTTTATTTGTATGTATACATGTTGTTAATCCTAGAAAGTGGAATAAAGTAAGTACTTGACTATTATTCTAGAGCTATACTTTCTGGCTGTGCCGGGAGCCGGTCCATCCTTGCTGTTTCAAGGGACCTGGCATATATGGCATACTGTTCTTAATGTGTTTGCTCACCTTCTCGGCACTATGTGTTTTAACCAAGGTCACCTGTCTGAGAACGGTTGTTTCCCCAGGTAGGGATTTTCCCCTGAAGTTAGGGAGGGAATAAAGCCCCTTAACTAAGTGCCAGGTGAGTAATTAATCACTTTAACTGCGAACAATCATGCTTAAGCTACATAATCTTTACTCCCTGAAATGGAGATAAGAAACGCCCTAACCTTTGGAATAGAGATTGATAGGATTGGAATCAACTGGTATAAATACAGATGTAACAAGACAACAGGACACAGAACCTAGACACAGAACCTACACAGAACCTAGAGACAGAACTTCGCTGGAGAGAACATGGCAAAAGATCCTGGACAGAAACTGGCCTCAGAACCTAGAGACAGAACCTAGCCAGAGAACATGGCAAAAGATCCTGGACTGAACCTGACTACAGAAATGGGCAAGAGAACCTGACTAGAACCTCGTGACTGAACCTGGCTGGAGAACCTGGACAGAACCTGGCTGGAGAACCTAGCAAGAGAACATGGACACAGAACCTGTCTGGAGATCCTAACCAGAACTTCGCTGGAGATCCTGACCAGACCCTGGCAAGAGAACACGGCTATGATGATCAACTGAACTCAGCCTCCATGTCATTCATTCTTCACTGACTCCATCCACACCTTTGGGGACCCCTGGACCTGCTGGGGTTGGACCCCAGCATGGCTGTGGTTACAAAGTCTGGCCTGACTTAATGACTCTAAAGTGAATATTTATTCCCGTGTTCTGGATGTCCTTTAGTTTATATTGCACTAGTGCATTAAAAAGTTGGTTTTAGATGAGGAATAATTAGCCTTGCTAGTATGCTGTTCTTTATTTAAGAAATAAAACTACAAAACAGATAAATTAATTGTTTATATTACAGCTATTTCTCCATTAACAAATATTTTAACAGGTGTGAATTTTAAGTTTCACTTCATGTGTCTCAGAATTTGTATTTGTTTAATATTTACGAAAATGTGTTACAATTTTCATATTGTAACACATTTCATAAAGTGAGGTTTACTGTTATAGCTCGAACTGGTCAGATTTTGTATATAATATATGTATAAAATAAAAATCGTGTGTGGTATGGTTGATTGAGATAGACAGACTGCTTAACTGAATCAGTGAAAGACTAAACCTGAAAGGAGTGAAGATTAATGAATGGTATGTCTACCATAATTACTAGTATTATTTACTACTGGTAATAATTAGATTGCTTATCTTCTGAAGAAAACTGAGTCTGAAATGTTAGAAACATACCTTTATGTTTTAATCCTTTTTAAATAGCTGGTATGATTCTAAATTTTAAATGAAAAGCTCTTTGAATTTACCTTACGAAACTGAATTAAACAAAATGCTTTTGAACTTTTTTTCTTTCTCTTAGGTATAATATTGAGCCCAGTTTATATTGCCCATTTTTCTCCCTTGGAGCATGCATGGAAGGCCTTAACATTTTATTTAATAAACTGTTGGGAATTGCATTGTATGCAGAGCAGCCTGCAAAAGGAGAGGTGTGGTGTGAAGATGTCCGAAAACTGGTAAGCATCCCAGTTTGTGTAAAGTTGTATTACTTTACTATTTCTTGGGTTTAATAATTGAGTTAATAGCACTTTCATCTTTAAGTTAGTTTTGCCTATTGGAGCAGCTCTCACCTTTGTCCTGTTTTACAAAAAACCTGAATGACCACTTCTGACTTAGGACACTGTATGAAAGAAACATTGTTCTCTAAAATCAGTTGCTGCTGAAAATTAACGTAAGTATATAACAGCAGAGTTAGTTCTTTGAAAAAAATATATTTAGGAATCTGCTAGGAGGTTGAATCTTCATATGTTTGACAAATTGTAATTAAAGGAAAATCTGTCATTACTTTTTTACATTTCTGCCATGCTAAGTGTCCTTTTAGGTTCATTTCTGAACCCATTGCATTGGTCACATTTCCTTTTCTTCCAACCCCTTCCAATTTTGTAAGAGCTTAATTTGCATGAGATATGAATTTATGTCCCATGTTTTGATTTGACTTCTTTGATAATAACTTTAAGCCTAGAATCCACTCGTCTCCCTTAGAGCCCACTTTGTTTGAGGCGTGAGTATTTTTATTTTTCCCTGATAAGAGTTTCAAGATTTATTGACCCATATGTTTATCACGAAGACTTTGTGTTGTCATGGTGTTTTATGTGTTGTTTATTTGCCTATCACGCAGTACTCTTGTCACTATATTTCAAGAAACAAAAGCTATCTCATTGTTCCTTGGCTTGTTCTGTGAACATGGAATCGATGTAGTGGTGGAACTGAAAGGATAGAATGAATGGGAGCACCTCATATCACTGTACTTAATTATCTAAGTATTCTCTGTTTGTATATAATGTACTTCAAAAAATTATAGAGATTGATAAAATACAGATGTATAGTGAAAAGAAAACTGGTAACAAGAATAGAAGGATAGAGTGTAAAGGGCAAAGAAGTGTCTGCAGGATGTGAGCCCCCTGGGCAGGACTATTTGTGTTTTGTCCACTGCTGTATGCCAAATACTGTGAACAGTTCCTAGCATCCAGAAGGTGTTAACAGATGTTTGTTGAATTAATAATATATGCTTTATAGGAAGTTTTAAAGCATAAAACTTAGGTTCTCTTTGGCAGAATCCTCAAGGTGTAAAAAAGACAAAGAAGGCAGGATGGAGACTAGTGGTTGAGCCTTCTAGGTTCAGTTTTGGGTAAAGTCATAAATAATGATTTTATTGATCGTCAACTGAAACCAGAGGCTACCTTTTGTTATTTCTGTGTCCAAGGGTTATAATTTGTATGAACATATATCATTACATTCTACAGTTTGAAGGAAAAATAATTTTGCTGCTAAAACTTTTGAGACAACACTTATTTCCAACTCCTTTTGGTGATTTGTGAACAATCTGAGGAGCTGTATTTGGTAGAGGTATCAGTTGAATGGCCCAAACAAGGAGGGTTTCTTCTCCTGGACAGAATTACCCAAATCAAAATCATCCAAAAGATGAAGAGAAAATAGAATCTATCTTGAAATAATATGGGATGTAGAAAGTAATAAAATGTCTATATTTATAGCTGTGCATGATTTATATACAGGATGGTGCAAAAGTAAGTTTACGGTTGTTCGTATGGAAAATAATACAATAATTAATAAATAATAATACAAGAATAAGCTGTTTCGTGTACTCATAACTATACACCTACTTCTGCCACAACCTGTATAGATTCTTGTGTTGAGGATGGTTTTCAACTTATAGAGTTTCTGATTGACTCATTTACCGCTAAATTAAATTGTTTTTTCTAGGCTGTGGTTCATGAATCTGAAGGATTGTTGGGGTACATTTACTGTGATTTTTTTCAGCGAGCAGACAAGCCACATCAGGTAATGCCTTATTTATAATCTAGTCTCTCTAAAAATGATCAGCAGTTAATTTTTTTTTTTAATATATTTTATTGATTTCTTACAGAGAGGAAGGGAGAGAGATAGAGAGTTAGAAACATCGATGAGAGAGAAACATCGATCAGCTGCCTCCTGCACACCCCCTGGGGATGTGCCCGCAACCCAGGTACATGCCCTTGACCGGAATCGAACCTGGGACCTTTCAGTCCAAAGGCCGACGCTCTATCCACTGAGCCAAACCGGTTTCGGCAGCAGTTAATTTATATTAGTGTGAACATATCTTTTTTGTAGTTCCCTAATATATAAAGGGCATTAATGATAATTACTAAATATATTAATTTGAGATTAGCTGTGAATTTAAAAATAAACATTATGAAAACCATTAGATATGCCTGTGTACTAGTCTGTCACTTTTATCTGTGTCATGGTAATAATGATAGCTGATATTATATGAATCCTTCTATGTCACATCATGTTTTTGAATGTTCACCTCAACCTTTGAAACTAGACACTAATATTATGAGGAAACTGAGGCTAGAGAGGTTAAGTTGGTTGCCCTGAGTCACACAGCTAGAAGTGCTAGGATTTGAACCCAAGCATTCTTACTATAGCCCCAACTCTTAACCACTTTCCATACTTGTTAATGGACCTAGTTTAAAATTGCAGAAGATACAGAAGTCCCCCCCTCATTTATGAAGGATACTTTCCAAGACCCCAGTGGATGCCTGACACCAAATATAGTACCAAACTCTATACATACTGTGTTTTGTACATACATACCTATGATAAAGTTTAATTCATTGTAACGACTAACTAATAATAAACTAGAACAGTTATAATAATATACTGTAATAAAACTTAAGTGAATGTAGTCTCTCTTACTCTGATAACTGATCTGATACTGAGATGACTACTAAGTGACTAATGGGTGGGTAGTGATACAGCATGGATATGCCAGACAAGGGATGGCTCACATTCTGGGAGGGATGCAGCAGGATAGTAAACAATTTCATCATGTTACTCAGAACAGCATGCAGTTTAAAACTTATGAATGGTTTATTTCTGGAATTTTTTTATTTACTATATTTGGACCATGGTTATCAGCCAATAACAGAAACGGAAAGTGAAACTGCAGGTAACAGGGAACTGATGTATCTTTATATTGGAAACCTTATCCACCACCAATTCACTTTTTTTGTGAAATATGTGAGGTTCATTCTTTTCCTTAACTGTGTACTGGTATAGCAATCATCTTCAACAGTTTTAGGCAATTTGATGGGAAATGTTAAGAGTTCAGGTTATCAGCCCTGGCTGGTTTGGCTCAGCGGATGGAGCATCGGCTTGCGGACTGAAGGGTCCCGGGTTCGATTCTGGTCAAGGGCATGTGCTGGGGTTGCGGGTGCATCCACAGTGGGGGGAATGCAGGAGGCAGCTGAATCGATGTTTCTCTCTCATCGATGTTTCTGGCTCTCTATTCCTCTCCCTCTCTCTTCCTCTCTGTAAAAAAATCAATAAAATATATTTTTAAATAAAAGAGTTCAGGTTATCTATAATAATAAAATCATAATATGCTAATTAGACCGGACAGCCAAATGACCTTCTGGACGTCCTTCCGGATATCCTTCTGAACGAAGCCAGGGCTACGAGGGCTGAGGCAAGCCACCACAGCTGTGAGGGCCGAGCTCCGTGCACGAATTTCGTGCATTGGGCCTCTAGTAAGTTATAATAGAAATAATGGTACCTTATATTTAAATAGTGATTCATAATTTCAAAGCATTTTAATAGATGTGAGCTTATGAAATCTAGGCAACTACTCTGGGATTTGACAAGGCAGAGGTGAAGCTCGTAAAGGCAAACCAGTTTCCAAAGTGATTTGGCTGGTAGGTGAGGAAGGTGGGACCATAATCTAGGTCAGTGGTCGGCAAACCGCGGCTCGTGAGCCACATGTGGCTCTTTGGCCCCTTGAGTGTGGCTCTTCCACAAAATGCCACGTGTGGGCACGCACGTACAGTGCAATTGAAACTTCGTGGCCCATGCGCAGAAGTCGGTTTTCGGCCTGGGTGAGTCTATTTTGAAGAAGTGGCGTTAGAAGAAGTGGGGAGTGTCGGTCAGTCGGGCGACGGGAGACGCAGCGCGGGGGAGGCACACGCAATTCATGCACAAGTTGAGCGAGCCAGTCATTCAGCAGTCTCATTGTGCAGTGGTTAGTGCTAGTCATGTAGCAAATCGCTCGTGGGTGACAAACGTACCTACTCGAAGCATAAAATTACCTGTATTTTTTTAGTATGATATCAAGTTTCATTCAACGTACCTATAGTTTAAGACTTAAAACTTTAAGTAAAGTTTATTAAGTTAATTTTAGGGAACGTTGTGGAGTGAAAGAAGATGTAGTGTCGAGGATTGAGATAGGTATGTTGAGATGGTTTGGACATGTAGAGAGGATGAACGAAAGGAGATAGATGAAACAAGTATACAAGACGAGTGTGGATGGCAGAGTTCGAAGGGGTCGACCTCAGCGAACTTACCTCAATCAGATTGAGGACGTTTTTAGCAAAGGCCAGCTTAGAAGTACCCTAATTAAGTTAATAACAATGTACCTACCTATATAGTTTAAGTTTAAAAAATTTGGCTCTCAAAAGAAATTTCAGTCGTTGTACTGTTGATATTTGGCTCTGTTAACTAATGAGTTTGCCGACCACTGATCTAGGTCATCAGACACTGATTCCTGTGTTCTTCCTCTTTGCTTGAATGGCTGGTAGAGAGTCTAGGTTAGTGATTAAGAACTCTGGCTCCTAGTAGTACAACTGGGTTCAGATCTGAGATGCAGCAAACCATGACATTTCCAAGACTCAGTTTCTGTTTTCTGATCTGAAAGGTGAGATTCTTGCCTCATAGGGTTATTGTGAAGAATAGTGATAAAATGTTAGTGAATCTCAACTTGTTATAGAAAATTTGCTTCAGATCCCTTGCTTTTTGCAATTTTAAAGCTTATCAGTTTCAAGTGATAACAACAATTGGTATGGGCAGTATCTCCTAGTTCATTGAAGGGTCTCAATAAACAATATTGTCCCTTCCCTTAGTAGCTTCATGTCTGTCACTTCCTATTTGCTTTAATGCATGGATCTTAGCTCTGTAATGATAGCATTTCCAACTTGTGGTACAGCAGCTGAATACATATTTTTGGAGTGAATGAATAAATCAACATAAGCTCAGTATATTGGTGTTTTTAAAAATTTAAATTTTAACAAAACGAGTTGAGAAAAATTTGTGTGTATAACTAAATAAATAGAATAATAATAGAGTTAAGTTAAAATTTGAACTCAGAACACATTTTGGTATAATTTTATGTTCATTAACATTAAGATTATTATACCTTTTAGACTACCTAACACATTCTTCTAATTATGTTTTCTGATTATTAAAGGATTGCCATTTTACAATCTGTGGAGGGAGATTAAAGGAAGATGGAGACTATCAACTTCCAGTTGTAGTTCTTATGCTGAATCTTCCCCATTCCTCAAGGAATTTACCAACTTTATTAACTCCTGGAATGATGGAAAATCTTTTTCATGAAATGGGACATGCAATGCATTCTATGCTGGGACGTACTCGTTACCAACATGTCACTGGTGAGTCACGAAGGGGACTTTTATTTAATACAATTCTTTAAAAACATTTTATTATAAATAGGAAGAAAAAAAGCTTTTTATTTAGAAAAACATCATTTAATATTGCCCTGTGGTCATTTATCAGCATATTGCCTCGTCTCCTTTCAATTGTACAACCCAATCCTCTTATACTTTTTTGCTTCCTTGCTAACATTTCGCACCAAGGAATAAGTCCCAGTTGTCCATCTTTTGAATTTGTACTATTTTATATTTTGTGCTATTCTTTATGAAATTTAAATTTGTAGCTCTATGTGCATAAGAATAAATATATATCTCCTTAGAACCTAGCACAGAGTAAATGAATGAATGTTGCCTCTTTTTATCCAAAATCGGTTAGAAAACATAGCAGAACATGTTGAAAAAGTATGATAAATTACTTTTTATTTTCCCCCTGTATAAAATTATAGTTTTTTATGCTGATCTGTTGCCATATTTGATGATACTGTAGACTTTCATCTTAGCTGTCTCATCTCTAAATCTTATGCCTGGACCACCTGGTAAATTGTTCATATTCAGTTTTTATTAACTAACTTAATACACACAATATTTTGAGGGAGGAGAAGATAGAGTGGAACCTTGGTTCTCAAACTTAATTCCTTCTGGAAGACTGTTCAAATAGCAATTTGTTCAAAAACTAAATCATTTTTTCCCATTAGAAATAATGTAAATTGAATTCATCTGTTCCAGACCCACAAATGATTTCTGTTTTAACCTTTCTGATATACAGTACATGTCTAATGTACTGTTTAACCTATAAGTAAACACTTCTTTTTTTAAATTTATCGAACCATCCCCTACTAGCCTTAAAAGAATCACTTTCAGCATTGTTCCAGGGGTGTGTCACCATACAACATCTTTGCTTGTTCCTATATCACTGCCACCGAAATGCTGTCACTGGCTAACTGCTTTTCCTTTATCCAAATGAACAATAGTTTTTCTACCTTTTTCATTGCCTGTATCATTGCTTCTTTCACACATCAAGCAGTCTTTATGGCTTCTTTATGTTATAGAATTGTGTAAATCCTCCATTTCTCCAGCAACAAAAGCATAAAAACAAAAACAAAAAACCCCACAAACAAACAAAATATTCACAGCATAATTTCCTGAGATGGTAACAAGATGGGTTTAGAGATAAACTGACTTGCATTCTTTCCTTTGTTTGTGGTGTGAGAGACACCTTTTGTCCTGCTGATGTAATCTGCATGAAAGGGTTGTCAGGTTAAAAACCAAAGTTTGGTTTGACAACCTAGACATTTTTTCTTTGACTAACTTGGTGGAGAACCATATTGTTCCAGATGGGAGACTGACTTTCCTTCAAGAAACCAGGTTTGACTGTTTTTGAAAAGATTGTGGATGGGCCGAAAGAATCATAAAATGTCACCAAAAATTATTATAGGATTTGCTATTTTAAGTAATTTTGAGTTTAAAATATTGTTGTTTTTTTTCTTTGAGGATTGACTTTGTTACAAGAAACAATCAATGAATAAAATGCTATTTTAAAAGAAATGAAGGATAAAAATATTTGGTGGTGGAATTCAGTGAATTAAATACAAATGCTATTTTAAATGTCAGAATGTTTTAATGTGCGTTTCACGTATATTCCAGCATGGCTGAACCCAGGCTTATTTGTAGAGGGTTTGAGTCACTGCTTTATAAGGTGTTTTATCCAGCTGTGCAAATATTTTGTTTTACTTTACGTTTGATATACAGGAAAATGTACAGGATTATTATAAACTTTTCTGCAAATATGTGCAATAATTTTATAGAAATAAAACATTGAAGTAATCAAAGCTTGTCATAGTTCATCAGAAGTATAAATGAAAATTTTAAAAGAATATACAAAAAGAAAGATAAATATGTTGATTTGATTCTTGCCAACTTTATTTTTTCCCCATTTTAGGGACCAGGTGCCCCACTGATTTTGCTGAGGTTCCTTCTATTCTGATGGAGTACTTTGCAAATGACTATCGAGTGGTTAACCAGTTTGCCAGACATTATCAAACAGGGCAGGTAGGGGAACTAATTTGTAATACAGTCCTTTGAGTTGTGATTGCATTTATGACCTCCTGGATAATGTTTAATTCAATGCTTTTTTAGAGCTCTGTCACCCCTCTCAGTTCCAGAATCCTTCTACCATTTTGTTGTTGTTCTAATTAGTTTTTTCTTTTTGGAAGGTTGGGGGCTAGCCTGCAGAACCAAAATCACAGCATATAATGTATTGACAAATAGCTGCCCTTGATTATATGCCAGGTAATAAACCATTTAGTTTTTGCAGCCATTTTTTGAGGAAAGCACTTTATTCTTGTTTCCCAGAGGTGGAAACTAGCTCTTTAGTAGAAGAGTCCTTCAAGCATGTCTCACTTCAAAAAAGACTTTCCTCTTTCTTCTTACTTTTGAATATTTGTTTTCTTGGTCTGAATTTTTATGATGTTTCATAAAGTGGAACTATATTGCCATATTTTCCCAGTATGCTTAGCATCTGTCTATATAAGTCTGCAAATTATTTAATATTGACTTTTAGATTTAAATAGTGCATTGTAATCTTAAATATTTTAAAATTCTGTAAAGTAGGATTAAAATGAGAAATACCTTACAGTAAGTTAGCTGTAAGTATAACTATCGAAATTGTGCAGTTTACTGTCCACACATACTTTGGAAAATATACTCTTTCTCTCCTCTTAGTGTTACAGAGAACCCGAATAAATCAAGCAATGCTCGGAGAGTTTGGAGTCACACTTTATTATTACACGCGGGCACAGAGAAAAATGCCATTCAAATTCTGGGCAAAGCTACAAGCAGAACTTCCCTTTTTATTAAAGAGCCATTCCTATGTGTGCTTAGTGGTTATCTCGCTGGTGGCCTTGAAAACAACACAGTTCTATCCAATTAAAAAATACGCCTGGAATGGCATTGAGAGTATGGGCGTATCTAGTCTCTGGCTTACAAGGTCAGAAAGCTAAGTTTATCGTCCTCATTATTCAAGCAGGCTAAAGCAGGCTAGAAAGCAAAGTTATTATTTTTTTAGAATAAGAGGCCGTCTAAAAAAATAGCAGAGAATTCCAAACAGTAGTTTTGCAAAATAGGAGTTAGCCTTCTCATTAGAACTTTGATTATAAAATATTATATTAGTGAAAGGTTAACATGGTGGTACGTGGGTAGGCTAAATAGCCATCTCACGTAAAGAAAAGTTGAATTTATTTAAGGAAAGGGGATGGGATATTCAAAGGGAAGGACTACACAGCACCCAGCCAAGGGGATATTGGGTCCATGATGGCAGCCCCCAAGAGCTGGAGTTTCATCCTTATGTGCAGTCACTGGCAGCAAGCTCTTGTAGTTGGTGGGTCTTGGGGTTGGGTTGGTGGGCATGGAATGGGGATGTGGCATCAGGTGTTCGTAGGACAATTTTAATTCCTTATATGGTCTGATTCCTGGTGTCCAGCAAGTCTTCCTGGTCCTTGTTCTCCTGTAGTGAGAAGCTTACAAATGGCCGCTAAGAATTATATTGCCCAATAGTCCTAACAATTAGCTAATAATTTTCTCCTCTGACTGTACCTCCCTGAATTCAGGTGTAAAATTATATTCATTTTTGAATCTTCAGCATTTAGAATCATTCCTAGCACATAAAAAGTATTAAAAGAAATTAATGAAGGAATGAATGGAAACAGAAAGAGAAGGTTCTAATCAACTTTTTTTTTTTTAAAATATATTTTATTGATTTTTTTACAGAGAGGAAGAGAGAGAGATAGAGAGTTAGAAACATCGATGAGAGAGAAACATCGATCAGCTGCCTCCTGCACATCCCCCACTGGGGATATGCCCGCAACCCAGGTACATGCCCCTGACCGGAATCGAACCCGGGACCCTTCAGTCCGCAGGCCGACGCTCTATCCACTGAGCCAAACCGGTTTTGGCTCAACTTTTTTTTTAAATTGATTTTTATCTAACCATTATTGTCAACTATAGAATAGTGGATGAATTTCTGGATAAATAATCAGATAAATAATTCTGGATAAATAGTCTTTATCATACTCTGTTTCAGTTATTGGATGACAGAATTGAAATATTTGTGATCTAATTAGCTACCTATCTACTGACCTGCAAAGAATTACTCTGGAAATTATGTAGACTCAGCCAATAACACAAATGCATATAAACAATCAAATAATAGTATAGTCCATCCATGGCTCCACATTTTGGGATTTGGGAATGATTAGAGCAGTAGAGCATGAGGCATATTAAAGCAGAGCTACACCCACAGTGGGTATTGTAAGAGCCTTCATATAGGACAGTGATTCTCAACCTTATGGCCCTTTACAGTTCCTCATGTTGTGACCCAACCATAAAATTATTTTCGTTGCTACTTCATAACTGTAATGTTGCTACTGTTATGAATCATAATGTAAATATCTGCTATGCAGGATGGTCTTAGGCGAACCCTGTGAAAGGGTCGTTCGACCGCCAAAGGGGTCGCGACCCACAGGTTGAGAACCGCTGATATAGGAAGTGCTAGAGGAACTAAGTCTTGAAAAGATATGGAAAGAAGACAGTTTGCCAGGCAGCTCTTAGCAGCCCTCATCCATCTCATAAAAAGTATTGAGGAAACACTAAGGACATATACACTGAGTTACCAGATTATTATGATCACCTGATGTTTATAGGCAAATTAGCCGTACACTACATCGTATAGGATATGGAAGCCGAAGGCCTGTTCAAACACCTTTGCTGTCTGCAGTTACCAAGATAAAACGTCTCTAATTCGCACAGAAACACAAGGATTGGACAGTTGAGCATTGGAAAAAAGTCATGTGGTCCGATAAATGATGTTTCCAGTTGCATTATGCAGATGGCAGAGTGAGAATTTGGCAGAAACAGTATGAAAGCATGCACCCCACATGCATGAGTACAATCCTTCAAGCTGGTGGGGGCAGTGTTATGGTTTGGGGCATGTTTTCCTGGCATGATTTGGGCCCTTTAATTCATGTGGAACAACGTCTGAATAGCACAACATACCTAAGTATCATTGCTGATCAAGTTCATCCTATCATGTTGATGGCATATCCCAATGGAGTTGGCTTCTTCCAGCAAGACAGTGCACCATGCCACGGTGCTCATACTGTGCAGGAGTGGTTTCAAGAACATGAGGGAGACTTTACCTTGCTTAAGTGGCCCCCCACAATCACCAGATCTCAATCCAATTGAGCATTTGTGGGACGAAGTTAAAAGAGCCATCAGGCAGCTGGTCCCACAACCATCAATTCTCACAGAACTGGACAGTGCTATTCATCAGGCATGGTGTCAGATTCCTCGCATCACCTTTCAACATCTCGTGGAGTCAATGCCAAGAAGAACTGCTGCAGTATTGAAGGCAAAAGGTGGCCCAACGAAGTACTGATGGGGTGGTCATAATAATCTGGCCACTCACGTTCAAAGGCTGTTAAAATCATGTTGTTTACCCATATCTTCAGGAAAAAAAATCACTTCTGTTGTGGTAAACAACCTGCTTCCCTATTTATAATGGTCTGGCCCTCTAGCAACTTCAGCGCAAAAGTATAGCTAATTTGCCTACAAACATCAGGTGGTCATAATAATCTTGCCACTCAGTATATAGGTCCTTTAGTCAGAAGATATTTGTTGAGTTTTTATTACGTACCAGGCACTGTTCTCAGCATCCAAAAATAAGTGAGACAAAATTCCAGGGCTCACTACGGCCTTAAATCTTAGAGGACCTAGGGCAGAGCAAAGGACAAGATTATTCCAACCAGAAGGAAGAGCCCATGCAGCAGTATGGATAATCCCAGACATTGGCAAGATGCTGGGTATGGCAGGAGCAGAAGAAGGAGGAAGGGAGGGAGAGAAAGGCAGACCCTGGAATGTTCTTGTTTTTAGAATTTGTTTCTAAGTCTCAGCATACCTCTTGCCCCCACTCACCTTTTAATCCCAGTTCATTTATTACACCACCTTTTGTGACTGCAATGATTTTTCTCAGCATTATTTATACTGGGTTTTGCTGTCACTTTTCCACTTGGAAGTTGTGTTTATTCCTTCTGGCCATTGGCTGTCCTACAACTCTGCCCCAACTCATTTTCTTACTAGCCTTTGGCTGACAACTTCACTGGATTCCACCTTTGAACTTGTGGCTTTGCTCAGCCCTTAGTAGGGTTTAAGCGAAGGCATACAGACATTTAGTCAAACAATAACAAGGTCCAGAACTAAGGCAGTGTCAGTGTTGGCTATGAGAAGCAGAATTCACAGCCTATTTGAACCTTAATTGGAAGGACTTGGGGCTAGTTAAATAACAGGGGGAAAGGGAGTTGGGGAGGAGTCCAAGATAGAGGTTCCATGAACAGAGAACTCTGGAAGAAGGCCAAGTTTGAGTTTGGGAAACACTTCTTTTTTTACATATATTGATGGTCATTTTTGTCCATGAAGTCATGAGTAGTACAAGTCTGAAATTCAGAGTCAAACGGTCACTAAAGATGTGTGGGAATAATTGTCGTGGAGATGATTTTTGAAGCACAGGGAAGTTAGAAATTGCCCATGAAAGAAAGTGATGTGGGAATTTTGGACTGGAACATGCAGTGTTCCTCTGGGCAGGATGGCTTCCCCATGTTCTTTGTCTGTCGGAGTTGTAGAATGAAACCACTGAGGGAAGAAGGTATAGCAAAGGTGGAAATTTGTTGAAGAACAAGTACAGACTCCCACATGGGGAGGAGAAAGAATCTAAAGGCACAGACTTCCACGTGGGGAGAGGGAAAGAGTCCCACCAAGTTTCTTTTTCCCCCTGGGGGTTTATAAAGGCAGCCGTTTTTTTTGTGCCTTGATATCCCCTCTGATTGGTCGCTATTCCCCTTTGATTTGGTCACTATAGTAACTCCTCAGCTCAAAGGTCAAAACCTCACATGGGACAGTTGAAGCCCTCCTTCCTCATTGTTCTCCTATTCCCTCTGGGCTCTTCTTCCTCCCTCTTTGAATGAGGGGTTGCCTTCCCTTTATTTTGTAAATGTGTATCT